TTAGGTGATGTGGCTTCTGATGGGAAAAAAGATCCTTCGGACAAAGCTGCGAAAAAAGATTCAAGTGCTTCAGCAAAGAAAAAGCTTAAAAAGGTAAATCAAGATTTCATACTGGTGAATATTTAGTACAGTTAATCAGATATATTTTTCATGTTATTTACCCAGTAGTAGAATCGGGATGAGGAAAAATAAGAGAAAAAAAAAATCAAGAACCAAGCTATACTATAAACATAATTAGTCTTCAGTATAAACATTAAGAATATTATAAAAATTAGGGGACACAGGCTTCATGCAGTTTCTATTACATTGGTAGTTTAAGTAGAGTAGTACTTAAAAAGATGAGTTAACCCAGTATTCTTAAAAATTGGAGAATTACTTAAAAGAAGAAAATAAACTGGATTAAATACATTACTTGCTTTTTAAAACATAGGATATGTTATCCAAGGCAGTTTATATGTACCAATCAAATTCTTAAAATTTACTATATGTGGCAGAGATAGCATTATTTAACTGTTAGAAAACCTGGTGGAATTAGGGAGCTCTGATGGCCTACTGGCAAGAAGCTTCACTGCAATCCCAGAGGTACACGGTTCAAATCCACCAGATGCTTTGCTGCAGAAGGAGGGACAATCTCCTCCTGTACTGGTCAAATCAGATTTGACAATACACATATAAAAACTAATAAAAAAGTGGTAGAATTAGGCATGGAGAAGTTCAATAACTTGTAGTTCTTCAGTTGACTATTTGCAGAGCTGGAAATGAATTGAGGCTATTTGTACTACTGTGTGAGAATGAGTGTTCTCTAAATAGGAGTTTTATACTGTGAGGCAGTTGTAAACCAAATTGATAACGACTTTTATCAATTTACTCTTGGCACACTCAGGAAGATTATCTTAAAAGTATTGAATGTAAATGTCTTGAATCATTTTGTGTTAAGCAGGCCATCCATTACATCAGAACAAGCTAAATTGTTAAAAGAATCAACAGTGATTTGGGGTGGGGATGGGGATCCAGACATTTATTTTGGAGAGAATGTCTGAAGACAAAGACGCTATCCCTTTCCTTTCAAGTAAAACAAATGGAAGGGATGCTGCAGGATAATTGTCGCAGAGTAAATTTGTCTTTCTTAACAGCGTCGTTTCCCAGGGAGTATGGAAGGTTTTGTCACTCTAGATGAGGTTGGTGATGAGGAAGATTCGGAACATCAGAAACTTCGTAAATCGGGCATGGCATTTAAATCTGGTGACAAAAATTATGATGGTTTGGTTGAAATTAAGGTGGACAAGATCGAAGAACTTGATCAAGAAAGTGAAGCAGCGCTGGAAAATGGAATTAAAAATGAGGAAAGTCCAGAGACAGGCTCTGAATCTGCTGAGGGTGCTGATGATCCCAACAAAGATACAAGTGAAAATGCCGATGGCCAAAGTGATGAAAACAAGGAGGACTATACAATCCCAGATGAGTATAGAATTGGACCGTATCAGCCCAATGTTCCTGTTGGTGAGATTTAAGGCTTTGTTTTCCCCCTACAAACAAACTTTCCTTACTAAGCTATCTGAGAATAAGTTTTAAAGTTCCAACAGAATATTAGTTTTTTCTGTGTGAAACAATTTGTAAACCTTAATATTTTCTGTCTTTCCTGGCCATTTTTCCTGATCTTGTATTATCTTATGTTATCATATCCACAATGTTACTTTTTCCTCATAAATGTTTCTGAAAATTTAGCATTGGTTTGTTTTTTCTATGTTCTATATTTCTGTCTCTTTAATAGTATATTTAAGGGGGCATTTAAACATCAGTTAAATAGAAAATACTATGATGGATTTTACATTGGGGTTTTTGTTGTTGTTGTTTTACTTTGGGCCGTGTTTGACTCTTCACAGTGTTTTCTATAATTCAGCTTACACTGGCAGGCAAAACGCTTTGAAGAATACTAATTAAAATTTTAAGTTAACGTAATTTGTAAGAATATATGTTTGTGTTTTTAGGTATAGACTATGTGATACCTAAAACAGGGTTTTACTGTAAGCTGTGTTCACTCTTTTATACAAATGAAGACGTTGCAAAGAATACTCATTGCAGCAGCCTTCCTCATTATCAGAAATTAAAGGTAAGGCTGGATCTAAAAGGAGAGGTGTTTTTTGTTGTTAAAATTAAAAGAAATCATGGGACATAGAGCAAGTGTGTGGCGTATCCTCTGTGCAACTACTGCAGTGCATTGTCCTAGAATTAATCCCTCCCACCTTTTTTCTTAAAAGTTTTTGGAAAAGAGCTTACACCAGGTTAACACTGTTTGGACCTCTCAGAGATGGAATTTGCCTTTCCATCCCAGATAATCAAAACCTACATTTTAAAAAGATCCCCAAGTCATTCTTTGAAAACCGTAAATATTATCATCATAGCAAATGTCAGGTAAATACTGAGTTAATTAATTAGTAGAGTACAATAATTATGACATTGTATATGAAAGTCAGTGAGCTTATTTTCTAGTTGTTAATAACTCAGTTTACTACTTCTGTTTCTTCATTTGGACACTCCCATATGGCACTTTCTGCTTTTTGACCCTAATCTCCAGATTTGGACTTAAGTTAGGATTCTGTCCAAATAAAGCTACATTGCTGCTACTCGTTGTCCCAACTGATAATTTTCTAAAATTGCATGACCGTACTTAAGGAAAATTATTACAGTACTTTTTGTAAGGTGCTGTTGAATATGCTCCAACTCTCAGGTGCATTGAAACAAAATAATAATTCCTGGGTTTCTGCTATTAACAGAATTGTTTCCTTGAGGGCAAGCTATCTTACCTCTTTACAACCACAAATGACAAAATCTTCCCAAGTCGAGGTCTGGGTGAATACCTGTCAGCATCACAGGACCTCCCAACTTCCAGATATGGATCTATGCAAGAGGACCCATAGAAGGCTCAGATCGTCAGTCCCTTAGTCATTGGTAGTCTGAGCCCGCAGTGTTAAGTTTGTGCCCTTTTTCTTTCTGACGTTAATTTGCTAGATGTGAGGCCTGCCTACCTATAGACAGCTTTATTATCTGGTAGTCTTAATAATAAAGGCATTTTGATGCTTTTATTATTTTCAGTCAGCTAATCCCCGATTCTTGGTCACGCAGATACGGAATTCCTATTTTAAGTTAAAGATAATCTTTTTCGCTTTTTTTTTTTAGTTAAAATAGCTTGTTTATAGTAATTTCTAACTAGAAGAAAACTTTGGTATTCTGTTTTTTATATAATATCTTTAGTGAAATCACATATGTAGAAACTCCAGATTACAAGTCTATTTCACGGGTCAAAAATCAATACTTTGTGACCCAACTGCTTGCTTTTATAATTATTTATTGTAACATATAGCCAACATCATTTATATATTGTCCATGACTGTTCAGTGGTATTGTAATAGCAAAATTGCTTACAGGCATACCTAGAAGTCAATTGCCGTTTTATTTCCAGGTGACTGCAATGAACAAATCAATGATTCTTTCACATTTAAAAATTGTTTTTACTATAGTGTTTCATTGCAGTAGAAATATTTAGAAGTTTGACTTAAGAGTTACAAATACATATGACACAGATAGTGTTGAAAATATGGCAACAATAGGCTTTCTTTCTCAACACATGGTTATCACTAACCCTCAATTTGTAGAAAACAAAACTCGGTATACCTGTAATTGCAGCAGAAACTGATTGACAAACTGCCAAGATTTACTACTAATCATGTAAAAACTCTCTGGCACCTCCTAGTTTGATAAAGCATTTGGTTAAATGTTTTAATTGCTCTGTTAGAATGCACCAGCTCTTGTGTGGATATGGTCTTTGTTTTTTCACCTCTAAAATTTGGGATTAATCATCTGTTGAAGTAAATGGGTTTTCATCTTTTGTCATATTTCATACCTTACTATGATGTCCTTTGAACCAGTTTAGTTTTTTATACTTGCAAATAATTCATTCTTGAAAATATTGATAAGGTTGTATTTTAAATGATACTCCAGTACCTAAGCTTGGATACACAGTATTTTATTTTGGAAATAGGTCCCTGACATCCACTTCTTGTTGTAGTTAACATAATCACTGTAATTCTTTGTTTTTTCTTCTTCTTCTTTTTCACTTTTCAGAAATTTCTGAATAAATTAGCAGAAGAGCGCAGACAGAAGAAGGAAGCTTAAGATGTGCAAGAAGCTTAACGATTTCAAAGAAAATTCTTTTTTGTTTTTATTGTTAACCTTTTATAAATACAGTACTGGTAGATGAAAATACTGTACTCTTGTTTTAGTGGCTTAATAACTAGATGTCTCTTCATGTGTTTAAATGTTGTAGCAAAAATACACAGTTAATGAAGAGTAGGTTTTGTTTTATCATAATGGCAACAGACGTACTTTGTGTAGAGACTGACGCCATAAGCTACTTATAACTTGCACCACTAAGGAAAAGATGTAGAAACATTTCAGAGAAATGAAAATAAGTTTTTTTTTCCAAGCTTGAAAAAAATGTCAACAGTTTGTGATTCAATTCAATAAAGAACAAAACCAATTGTATTTTTATTACTTTATTTGAAACATTCCACATTCTAATCTGAGCCTTGCAGACTTTTCATTTTGGAGTTTGAAGCTTTTTGGTTGCATTTTAATTTTTGCAGTTGGTGATTAGAATGCAGGTGCAGTTTTCTTTTAATGTCATGCTCTTTTAGATAAGAAATGTTAGTATTTGGATTTAGATTTTTGTAACATTTTTGCCCTAAGTTCCTGCTAGACTTCGTATTCTAGTAGTAAATGTATTTTCAGTGAAATGTAAAAAATATTCCTGTTCTCTCTGACCAGTATTAATTTCCTGAGATCTTACTGCTTGTCACTTGAATCCTGTAGCTGTCATACATCTCTGATATAAGCACCACTTGATTTTTGAAGTGTGTAAACCATCTCTTCATATTTTTCAAGATGTAATTTTACATTTTTGCATTTTAAAGCAGTTTGGCCACAATTTTAGACGCACGCTTCTAATTCATGTACCTGCACTTGTGAACTTTGTGAACAAAAATTTGCATGTATACTGTGTTTACTTGTAAACTCTCTGCTTAAATACTGCTTATATCTGTGGTTTCAAGTTACTGAAGTGAATACCAATAAAAAAAGCTAGGCCATGTTCATTGGTTATACATGTTTGAAATGTAAATAATTTATTTTGTCAGGTGTGGTTTTTATTCACTGTTTATACTTTCCTGCATGCTTTTAACAAGTTAATACTTTTTAAAAATTGAGAGTAATATGCTCTAGGTGCTACTAAACTACTACATTTTAAAACGTTAGTGCTAATGGATTTCTTGTTCCTGTTGCACAACTAAATATAAAACATAGGTTTTCTAAAATCATGTGAGTTGAAGATGCAAATTATAGTGGGAAAAGTTTTCTTTTAAATTTTTTTTATTTTTTATTCTTTTTGTGTGAGTTTACCATCAAATCAGATCTTACTGGTACAGGAGGAGATTGTCCCTCCTTCCCTGGCAGAGCATCTGGTGGATCCGAACCATGTGCCTCTGGGATTGTAGTTGCAGCTCCTCACCACTAGGCCACCAGAGCTCCCCAGAAAAGTTAGTATTTTTTTTTTTTAAATTGAAAATAACAGTAATGACAACTACCAGTTGTCCTTTCAGAAAAATTAACATTGAGATTATGGATGTTTGAGATTGTTATCAGCAAAACGGAATTTTTTTTAAACAAAAACACGTCTAATTTCCAAAAGGTAGAGCAGTAAAAGATACTTCAAATAATTGAACAGTTTTATAGACCATCCCATTGTAGAGAGGACTTAATGTAACATCCTTGCCAATTTGTGATTCATTTTAGCCTTTGCTAAACAGATAATTTTGTCTTATTTCAAGTTTTAACTAAAATTGTATGTACAATGCAAGTCTTCCGTCATATGTAGGCACAAAAAGAATGCTTTGGTTAGTACTTGATAGTGTTTCTAAACCTAATGATAAAATGACTAAACTGCCAATGTCATTGGTGAAAACACACTATTTAACAAGGTGTTAGCTTGTTGACACTCAAAAACATTATTTAAATGAGTTTTACTACTGAAGATCAACTATTAAACAGTTAGGGTATCATCCCCTCCCCAGGCACAATTTCTCCTTATTTCCAATCCCCCTATTAAAATAATGGGAACAGTAATAAAAAATAACTGGCTCATAATTGACATTTACTTTGAGTTTACAAGGCTAAATCACACACAAGACAATTCCAAGAACCCAACAGTGGAATTGAACCACCAGAGAGGTGTTCATCCATTGTTGTAGAAAACACATAATGTATGCTGTTTGTTTCTCCACTTTTTTTGCCATTCATAATTGACTTCTGGAAACTAATCAACATTGGCACGTTAATTGTAAAGTAACTGAGGTTTTTCTTTTTAATGTAAAACAAATACTTCGTAGAGTGAATTATGAAAGGTAAGTTTCTTGCACAGTCTGTGGGAACTCAGTTCTCTGTCATAGAATATGGATTGTTAAAGTAGTATGTAGAAGTTCTGAAATTGTGTGCCCCCAGAAAGGGATGCAGTTCTTGAGATTTTCATGCTTTAAGAAGCTTAGATACATGCTTTCTAGAAAACAAACCAATTATTCCTTACCTGAGCACAGATTATTAATTCATGATATTGCTCATATGGTAGCATTACTCAGTTACATAGTAATACCATTTTTTCTTATTTGAGATTTGCTAATCAATAAGAATACTTATTGGAAATGCCATTGTTTTTCAGTTGTAGATGTTACCAAATTTGTAATTGTTGCCTAAATGATCTTGCCTCTCTTCTCCAACCTAAAACTAACGAAAAGAACATGTTTTAAAGACTGATGCTTTCCTTTCTCATTAATGTAATTTGTATGCTTTTAGAAAGTGGAAAGGGCAGTTTATTAGGTATAATGATAAACATCTGTCAGTTCTTCAATTCAGGAGAATAAGCAACATAGGATAGAAATAGGTACAGACTTAATGACCCTTTTCAAACTTAACTTACTATATTGAATGCAGATAGGATGGATAAGATTGTTAATATAGAAACACCAAGACTGGCAATTCTCACAAATTGTTTAAATATTTGTCGTAGCTGTACCCATCCAAAGTATTGCCAAGGTCCTACTTGCATAATTTAAGATGGTGGTTCCATGGATGTGTTGTACATAAGATACATGTTTTGTTTTGTTTTTTAATTGTGTGTACCGTTAAATCAGATCTGACTGGTACAGGAGGAGATTGTTCCTCCTTCTCCAGCAGAGCATCTGGGGGATTTGAACCATACACCTCCGGGATTGCAGTGCAGCTTCTTGCCACTAGGCCACCAGAGCTCACCAAATATATGTATTTTTCTCCAGCACAAAATGTTCTGATTTTAGATATGTGTAGCATTTAACCCTGAGCCACCTTAATTGCAGTTACCAACAGGGTGCTTTGTAACATGAACCTTTTTCTTAATGTGGCTGACCAGAAAGTCGACTAAAGTAAAATTTATCAGCTGTATGGCCCTGTAACTATTTAACAACCTATTTACACCATGGAAAGGTTAGGGGCTACATGAGTTGGGATTTACTCCTTGGCGCAGGCAGTGGGTTTATATAGATAAAAACTAAGTTACTGTTGAGTTGGTTCTGACTGAAGGGGCTGAGAAGGTAAATCATTGACGGTTTTCAATGGCCAATAGTGGTGGGATACATTTTTTTTTTTTTTAATCACTAGAGTTTTAAGATTACTGCATGGACTATATAATGTTAACTGCACCACCCATCCCATGTAAGAGTGATTATACATATTCTGTTGGGGCTGTTGGGTGGTTTTCTTGAAAACGTGTACAGCTGAATTCCCATTTAAATTGACTCAATCTTAGTTTTACTTTCTCCTGTTGTGGCTTATAGACCAAAGGCACCATTTATAGAGCTGTCTTGCCCTCAGGCTGTGAATTGTGAGCCTCAAACAACTTTGAAGATGCTGCTAGTTATCTATACCTGAATGCTTTACTGTATACAGGTGTATAGAGCAATGCTGACATGTCAAAATGTCTGGTCATTCTTTCATACATGTTCATACTTTGCAAGTATGTAATGATGTAATTTTTAGGCTGTCATGTTAAAGTGAAAGTAAAATGTTTTCGTAGAAATCCTCAGATGAGTCCTTTTCTGTGAAAGTAAAAGGAAAAACATTGTGTCCTACCTGTGTTGTAACACAGACCTAATACAGTTGACACTCTTGCTCCTTAGCCTTGTGTTTGGCATGTGTTGGAAAGTTTAAAATTTGGTGAGCATCTCTTACTCTGGTCCACTGTTTTTGACAACATTCATGTGCCTGAAACACAACTTAGGTTATTTTGAGTGGGGACAGCCTTTATGGCACATGTTCTATTTTGTGGCTTTTTTAATTAAAAATGCAGTTTAATGCATAGTACCTTTAATTTTAATTTTTTTTTAACTTGTGTATAATCAAATTGGATCTGACTGGCACAGGAGATTACCCCTCCTCCAGCGGGAGCATCTTGTGGATTCAAACTGGCCATAGTACCTTTCTTTCTGCAGTTGGTGGTATTTGAAACCCAATGATGTCAGATATCGTCAGGTTCGCCCAGAGAGTGGTTTTGAGCATGCATGACATTGCTATGAGTAGTATCCCTTACATGTCTAGTTTCTTTGCAGAGGTTCCTATGTGTAATATCTTTGGGTAAGCTATATTTTCTATGAACATTTGAATGTTGTTCAAGCAAGTAGGTGAATGCAGCAGCTTCCCATCATTTTGTACTTAACTAGTCCATTGAATTTCTGGAGTGAGGTGTCCCTCTGCTGGTCCCATTGCAGTGTCATTCTTAACATTGGAACATAGTTTATTTCGTCTGGCAGTAATGTCTATTAAGGAACACCGTGCAAGGTATTGTGTGTTGGAGGGGTAGTTTAAAAATAAGTTTTGTGAAATAAAAAGTGGAAGGGGAAACACTTGTTTTTAGATCATGCCACAAGAAAGCTGCCACTCAAGACTGGCTGGAAGTTCCTTTTTTTTTTTTTTTTTTTAAAGATAAGTCAGGATTTAGGAATTCCCCCGGCCCCAGTTCTTGTGCATGTATGTCTTGTTTTCCTTAAGATCTGAATAATTTTTAAGATTATCAATCTTCCACTTAGATACTTGGT